ACTCCATCTTGAAAAATTTAATAGCTTGTGGAATGATTAACTTGCAAGTGGAATAGCTCTTTCTTGGGAAAGACAGGCTAAAAGGAGCAATTAGTACCTCTATGTTGCTGACCCTTGAAGATTTATGATTTTATTTCCTCACCTGGCAATAAATAATGTTTGTCTCTAGATGGCACTAAATTGTTAGTATGAAAGTTGTAAAATAGGCCCCAGGATTCCAAATTTCTTAAAGTTATTTTCTGATTATTGCCACTAAAAGTCAAGCTATTAATTAAAACAAAAAAATTTCAGCTCAAACTCAAGTAAATAATGCACGTTTAGTCTATCTGCTCTCCTCTCTTAGCTTCCCTTAATCCTAATGTAGAGAAGACAGTTTCCAATGGGCTGAATTTTGATTTGGAGCTAGAGTTTGCCAAAAGTAAACACAATAAAACTAAATTTAAAACAAATAACGGCTCCTAGGAACTATTAACAGTTGTGAAAAGCAGTGTGGGGTTCTAGAATAGGTAATAAGAAAAAAGTCACATAATTAAATCTTCTGCCTCTTGGGCAAGCTAGGCCATTTAACTGGGAGAACAGGAAATGAAATAGACACGGTTTTCAGTAAGGTCTTTGAAGATCCATCTTGTGATATCCCTGGAGACAAAAGAGAGGATATGTGTGCATTCATACCTATCTAATTATGGTTGAACATGCTGTTTATTAATGAATGGATCAATGTCAACCTGGAAGAGAAACAACCTCGGCTGGCACAGAACATAGCTAGGCTCAGTCCTGATCTGCTTAATTCTTTGATCGGTGGTATCTCAGGAAGAGCTGGAATGCCAGGTGCCTACCACGTGTGTAAGTCACAGAGTGTTTACAACTCTTTCATGCTTGGTCCTCCAAAGAGCCTTAGGACAGAGGCACGGTGAAGTCCATCAGACAAGCTTTTGACTCTTGTACAATGTTTCAGGCTGGCAAAGGAACTTAATCTGGAGGGACAGAGTTGGGGTGCACCTTTAGCTGCAGCATTCATGGGGAAACTTGACAGCAACACTGTCAAGTTGTCACTTGAATTGATGCCCCCAACACAGTCACAGGGGAACTTGTACTAAATTTTGTAGGCAGAGTAACCATAACTAGAGTCAGATGAATAAAAAAAATCTAACCATCAGGCTTTTATAAGAAGCAGGAAGGCTTCATATTGTCAGTTTAAAATGCCTCCATGTTTTGTGGGTTTAATGGTTTGATAAAGGTATTTTGACATTGATGGAAACAGGGACCTTCTTCTAATTCTGCTCAGCAACAGCTACAGAAGAGAAGCCAAAATCTTAAAAGAAGAAAGAGCCTGACAATATTGTATGGGTGACATTGCCATTACTATTGCCATGTAACAAATTACTGTAACACTTAATGGCTTAATACAGCAACATTTTCCCCCTCAAATCCACAATATGGACTGGGCTTCGAGACAGCACCTTTTTTCTACTTGGTGGCAGCTGGGACAGCTCAAGCACTGGGGACTAGAATCCTTTAAAGGCTCTTTTCTCACATATCTGGCAGCTGATTCTGAGGGAACTCAAGCAACTGGAACTGGAACTGGTGTGGCTCCTGGGATCCTGGTCTCTGTGCAAAATGGAGGCTTCATAATAGCTTCTCACATATTGGCTCAGGGCTCCCAAGACACATGTCCTAAATGGAAGAGAGAGCAAGGTAGAAGCCTTAATTCTTTTTGATGACCTAACCTTAGAAGTCCTGCAGCGTCCGCTCCACTGCATTTCTGTGTATAGAGACAGTGGTAAGTTTCACCCATATTCCAAGGGAGGGGAATTAGACTTGACCCTGTGATAATGGTGCTGGAGATTGAACCCAGGGGTGCTTAACCACTGTATGACACCCCCACCACTTTTTACTTTTTAAATTTTAAGACAGAGTTTTGCTAAGCTGCCCAAACTGCCCTGGAACTTTAGATCGTCCTGCCCCAGCCTCATGAGTCACTAGGATTAACCAGACTTGCCATTTTCACAAAAGAATCTTTAAGGTCCTGAAAGAGTATGTATATCTGCAAATATTGCTGTGGCCATTTTGGAAAATGCAATTTACTCCAACCATACAAACCGCAGCTGAGATTGGGGAACATCAGAACAGCAACAGAGGAGTCACATTGTGCTGAGTGTGAAAGAGAGCAGGGAACTAGTATGTACAAGTCCATGAACACCAACTTCCACAAGAGGGCGCTATCTACCATAGTAGGGGTGGGGCATGGCTGCTGTACATTCTACCAAATAGAGTGAAGTATGGAAACTTCGACTGACTGCTAGACTGGTTTTCAGATTATTCTAGTGTGATCAGAGTTCCCTTTTCTGATTGGTACCCATGGCTGTGCATGCCTGTCCTTCCTTCTGATCCAGGTAGGGTCTCTTTGTACTCTTATTAGCAGGTGAAAAACCCATAGTCTCAGGAATAGAGAGGAAGTGGCCAAAATTCTCTTAAGGGGAAAGAGTGATGTCCATTGTGTACAGACTTTAAAGTTTTAAGCTGGTCTTAAAAAAATAGGAGCAGTTGAAGGTTTTTGTAATGGAAAATATAAGATGAAAACAATATACTTTACTGTTGCCTGAAACACTTACTAAGCAACTGTTAAGTACATGAACTTTAGGAGGCACTGGGGAACCCAGGATGCCCAGCCCAGCCAGTACAAGGCAATGGGAAGATTGCCCTAATAGCGCGCTGGGTCCTGTGTTCAGCCACTTTTCTATACTCTTGGATCATGGCCTCCAGCACCTTCTCCCTCATCCTTCATACATGTTCCTCTTTGACAATGTCATTGCCACCTTGACCACTGCCACTCATACCACCAAAAGTACTCCCTGTGCCACCTGGGGAATCAGGTAAGTTATGGCTGCTGTAAACTTGACACAAGAGCTCTGAAAGATGACTTTCCCCAAGGTTTAAATTTATCTGATTGGAAAGTGTTAGGATGGCATAAACTTTAAACCACACATACATAAATAATTAATAAAATGCCTTTACTGAGGAAAAAAAAAAAAAGCAAAGGAGACAGTTTTTGCAATTTGCAAAAAATATAGGTCTGATAGTTGCCATGGTTTTGGCCCCATTTCCAGAGTAGCAGGCTAACTACTGGATCTACCCTTTCACAAAACAGGCCACCCTATAGTGGAGAACACAAGTGTGCATGGGACAGGGGTGGAGGGAGTGGAAGTGGTCTCCTCCTTAGGATCATGACTACTACCCTCATGGAGGGAGACTTGTCTCGGAACATCAGAGACATCACCAGAGTGACAGAGCAGAGGTAGAACTGAGGTTTATAGACGCCGCTGGATCTAAATTTCTGCTCATAGTTGGGGCTCAGGGTAACCTGACTCGGGGTGGAGAGGGGAGGGCTATTGAAGTCGTGAAGTGGCAACCACATGGCTTTCCTTGTTAGATTGAGAACACATCAATCTTTCATAATAAAGGAGACAAGTACTGACTGAAACTGGGCGACCTAAGCCTCCACCCACTCCAGGTCACCAGGTACCCTCCCATTTCCTGTTGAGATTTTCTGGTTAAGAGCTTTTCCCTGATTTATGTTTGAGCTTGAGGACAGAGGACACATGAATAGCAAACTGACTTTGGACTTACATTTTATTGCATCATAAAGTAAATCAACCTTGAACTGTTGGATTTGGATTTTCTACGAAGAGATAACCCTTATTACAATTCCTCATGCCAGGCAGTCTCTGTTGGTTCAGATTTTCCTCTGTGACCATTTCCTATTCCTTCCTCACCAGAATGTCTCCAAATTTCTTTAATTAAATGTCATATTCTATGATCACTTCTCAAAACAAGCTGTATATAGCTATTTATAATGAGTGAACTTTGTTTTCCAAGAATGACCAAGTGCTGTAGTCCCTAGAAGAGCACCACTCCTCTTGTCCCAGGGCACTGCCTTCTGCCTCTAGACATCCTTTCAAGTTCTTGGACACAGCTGCCTGTCCTTACAGACTGCAGCCTGTCCCAGGCACTGCTTCCTTCAAGGTATCCCAACCCTGGATAATTCTGCCAGCCCTGGATACTGCTTCTTACCCCAGGACACTTCAGCCTGCCCTTGAGCACCACTTTCTTCTTTAGGGCAATCCTTCCTGCCTTCCCCTGAATGTGGCTGCCTGCCTCTGGGCACCTCTGCCTGTTTCTGGGCACCACTTTTCCCCTCCTCCTCCTCCTCCTCCTCCTCCTCCTCCTCCTCCTGCACCTCCTCCTCCTCCTCTTCCTCATGCATGTCCTCCTCCTCTTTCTTTTTCATACTGGAGATTGAACCCAAGGACCTTGTGCATGCTAGCTAGGCAAATGCTGAACCACTAAACTATACCCCCATCCTTTTTAAATTTTTATTTTGAAACAGGGTCTTGCTAAGTTGCCCAGGCTGGACTACCCTTGGGCACTTCTAGCCCTTGTCCTGGGCACCACCCTGAGTAGTGGACCTTGCCCTCTCCTGTGTTAGCTGAGGCCATGGAGCACCCAGGGTCATATTGTTTTCTGTGCAGACTGTAGGAGAATACCTCTTTGTTACAAATTGTATAAAGAAGCAACACAGAGATGCTGAAACTTCCTGAGCTACTCTAGGACAGCGCCTCTTCTGTTCTTACTAGTAATAGAACTCAGATATTTGTGCCAGGAGAAATATCCAAGTGACAGACACTATTCTGTTCTTCCAAGTTGGCCATGGAGGCTCTGGTACCAGGTCAGGCCCGTTAGTCCTGGCTATATTCCAAGGAGATGGATTCTGCCCCCAGAAGTTTTCCCCACTCCTTCTGTCTCTCTCACCAGTCCCCAGACCAATAACTGCACAGCTTAGGAGGAAACTACACAAAACATACCAGTTATCTGTGCAGCTCTGTCCCACTTAATTAGGAAAGGGTGCTCAAACTTTCAGAAGGCATGGTACAAGTCAAAAGCTCATGATCTGGTGGCGAAGTTCAATATTGGTGCAAACCAAAGGAAAACACAACAAAGTATATAACTACATGTCATTTATAACATGCTATATTACCAGAGACAGTGACATTCATATCAGGTTAATAGAAATGAAAGTCTAAATGAAAAATTCAGGATAGTAAAGTTTAGGATAGAAATTGTGAGATTTTGAAAAGAAAAACTACCTTTTTCGTTTTATGTTATTTCTCATCTTTGTCACCATGGAATGACTTTTGGATACTTTTATGAGTCTTAATACTTGCACTATTTTCTGGGCCATTTTTCAGGAAATCCATCACTATGGAATGAAGTGAGGTCATGGCAAAAAGGAGTAGAGGATTTGGACCTTGGTCAAAATTCCACTTTCACCACTTGCCTGCTATGCAAATCCCTACACAGAAGCCATGATATAAAAGACACAGAGATAGCAAGTTAGAAGATGGGGATTCTCTCTTTTTTAAAATTTTTATATGTATTTTTAGTTGTTGATGGGCTTTATTTTTATTCATTTATTTATATATAGTGCTGAGAATTGAACCCAGCGCCTCACACATGCTGGGCAAGTGCTTGACCACTGAGCCACAATCCCATTCCAGGATTCTTTTTTTTTTTAAGTTTAATTTTTAAAATTTGTTATTTTTTGAGGCCAGGATTGTGACTAAGTGGTAGAGCACTTTCTTAGCATGTGTGAAGCACTAGGTTTGATTCTCAGCACCACATATAAATAAATAAAATGATAAAAAATAAGTCACATTGCCTTATTTTAAAAAGTGTTCTTTTTTGTTATATATGACAGTAGTGTGTAGTTTGACATATTATACATACATAGAATATAACTTCCCATTCTTGTGGTTGTACATGATGTGGAGTTTCACTGGTCATGTATTCATATATGAACACAGGAGAGTTATGTCTGATTCATTCTTCTGTCTTTCCCACACCTATCCCCCCTCCTTTCCTTTTATTCAACAATAGGGATTCTTTGCATTTTCCCTTAAACTGTATTTGACATATTTAAATATTTTTATTTTCAATAACCATCTTCTAAAAACTTCTATATGATTGTTTTTCAGATTCGCCCCTATCCCCAACATGTGCTTTGAGATGTCTTTGGATGCCATGGCTAGATTTAACTTGTTCTTTGGACAGGTACCTTTGCAGATGGCTCTTGGAGGAAAGGACTAAGAAAGATCTTGAGAAAAAGTCTCCCCCTAGAAAGGCCAGCTGAGAATGGTGCTGCCCTGGAAGAGCCAGATGTGAGCAGTTCAGAACAGCAACTCCAAGTTCACATCATCTCTTACCATTCTCTAAGCACAGCCCAGACTTCTCTACCTCTTGACTTTGCCAACATAGTCCTTCCAACCAGATAGCCATGCTCTCATTTCCACCTGCCTGAATACTGCCTGTCCTACAAGGTCAAACTCAAAATGTCCCTTCATTTTTCTTTCCTTTCCTCCTGCTCAGAAATGATTCTCACAGCTAGAAATGATTCTCACACTTTTGTGAATGCCCACAAAACTTGCTACTACTTATGATTAATAGGACCAGCTATACAATTTTCATGGCACAATGCAAAATAAAAACCCAGAGTTCCTTGCTAAAAAGGATTGTTAGGAATTTCAAAACAGTCACATCCAAGCATTCCACTAAGTACAGGGCTCCATGCTTCTTGTGCAGGACACACTGCTAGTAAAGCAGCCCTGATGATTACATCTGTGGCTTCTAAGGGAAAACTGTAAGTCCCATCAGGTGAGCTCAATTGTTCAAATGCCCATTTGAATCCCTTCTGGGGGAATCCCTGAGCTGCTCTCCTCCCCTTCCTGAGTCTTGTTCCAGGGCTCCATCACCTACATGCCTGGTTCTCCACCTCACTGGGAACTTAGCTGTATGCTGTGCATCCTGAGTCCCCACCAGTCACTCTGACCTATGCCTACTGCCCTCATCCTTAAGTCCTGCCTTGTGGACTCCTGTGGATTGCCCACTCTTTCTTGTAGCACAAGGAGAGAAAGCTCTATTAGTTGTTTCCTTATAATACCACTTTCTCTCTCTGGTTCCTTTGCCAAAAGTTGCATACATATGGCCCTCTCTTAGACAGCATATTAATGCAAAAAAAAAAAAATGTGGTACCTAGCACTCTCTCACCCGTTGTATTCCTTCTGGTAATATAGGTGCTTGCCTGATGCCAGCAATGTTAAGTGTACTATTTTATTTTATGCCCTTAATAATACTTAGAAGTATGGACTGCTAGTTTTATTCCTTTTATAGATGAGTAAAATGAGATTCAGAGACACTAAGTAACTTGTGCAGGGATAAGCCAAGGAGCCCTTACCCTTGGCCATTAGGCTATATTGCACGTGTGTGTTTGTGTGTGTGTGTGTGTGTGTGTGTGTGTATGGCTTCAAAGAAAAGGCCATGTTTTAGTCTTTAGTATTACCCCCACTACCTCTTTGTGCTCTGAGTACTAGTGTATTATTAGGGATATTAACAATTTCCATTTATTGATGGATTACCCTATGCCAGGCCCTATCCTGAGCATTTTGCAAATGTTAGCTCTTTGAATACTCACCATATCTCTATTAGTCAGATTTCATTGCCCATATTTAAAAGATAAAGAAACTTAATGCTGAGTTCAATCTCTAGCTATGTCACTTAATTGGTAAATAGCATCACCAGGGTATGGACTTGAGTCTGTCTTGACTCCGGGTGGAGGGCTCTCAGGAGAACTAAGCTGTTGCCACACCCCCACCTCTGTCTTACTCACCCTTACCTTCCTGCCCATATCTGTCCTCCCACCACCTCAGTCTCCATCAGAATCTGAGTCTGGAGACTCAATGTGTTGCTTAACTGCTTAACCCACCAAATGATTTGGCTGCCTGTTGCACAATCCCAGAGCAGACAGAGAAAATTGCCCATGTTACCTGGCCTGCCCTGTGATCTGCACCCTCTGGATTTCAAATTGTTGCTCTCTAATGCTCTGTTGCCTTCCAATATCCTAACAAGAATGCCAGACACAATGACTTCCCTAAGTGTATTCAAGATACCAGGCTCTGGCTGTGGTGGTGCACACCTGTAACCTTAGATGCTCACTCGGGAGGCTGCGGCAAGAGGATTGCAAATTTGAGGCCAGTCTCAGCTACTCAGCGAAGCCCTAAGCAACTTAGTGAGAACTTGTCTCAAAATAAAAAGGGCTGGTGATGTGACTCAGTGGTTAAGCATCCCTGGGTTCAATCCCCAATACTAAAACAAGCAAACAGACAAAAAGATATCAGGCAATAAATAGTGAAGAAATGCTACCAGCTGAGAGCCTTCCCAGGTTCAGGGTGAGTTCAGGAAGACCTCTCTTACAGGTCTTCCATTAGTGACAGTATTTTTCTGTCTCCACATTCAAGAAGACTGATTAAGAGACTCTATGGAGAAAAGTGGCCTTTGCGTTGGTCTCATTGTTAATCCTTTTGAGGATTCAGAGAAGCCTCTGGAAACAAGGAAAATTCCTCTTCCATCCCATAATTGTTCAATAATCCACATGCACCCACTCAGGTAGCTGGAGAACTAATTTGACTCCTAATCACCAAATGTTTATCCTATGGTTTAACCATTGGTGCCAGTCTTGCCTATTCAATAGGATGATAGAATCATCTCGAAACAAATTAACTTTAGCAGTAAATGAAGAAATGGGGACAATGGGGAACAGAGAAGGGGAGCAATATATAAAATGGATGTCTCTATAGACCTAGATCCCAATGTAGAGACTCAGGATTTAGACTGTGTAGCTGACTTCTATTCATTATTTATTTATTTATTTATTTTTGCAGCACTGTTCATTGATCCCAGAGTATTGTGCATGCTAGGAAAGTGTTGTACCTCTGAGCTATACCCCAGTCCTGTGGAGTTGATTTAATCTGTGTCATTTCTGAGGGCCAAATCTGGGCCTGTTGGTTAGGTTACAAGGCAGGTAGGTGTAGAAGGAAAAGCTGCCTTGTCACTAGAGTGATCAAGCAATGGGATGGGCTGCCACAGTGGGAAGAGAGGTTTCTGTATCGGAATGTTCTCAAACTGCCAGGAAACATCGAGGGAGTCTCTGCTTTGTGCAGGAGGCTGGTGTGGAGCCCCTCAGTGGGCAATCATGTATGGGACTGACTTTACTGGGCAAGAGATAGGTACAGGGGATATGAGATTCAATGTGACATCAACACTGCTGTCCTCTGGGAATCCTTCCCACTCCCAGGTTGTGTTCCTCTGGAAACGATGCAGGCTATACTTCTCTTGTTTGCTCATGATAACTATCATAGTGCTATGGAGTCAGACCCAACAGAGCATCTGGAAGACAAGAATCATTCCTTTCATCTCTTTCTCTTAGCGCTTAGAGTAGCGTAAGGGTCCAAGAGACAGGTTTGAAGTTAATGACTGTATGTCCAGAGAATACTCACTGCATGTCAACAAGTGGATCCTCAGAATCTTAAATGTCCATAGGGCCCATTTCAACCCCAATAAGCCACATGATGGAGATGGAAGTGCCCAAACTTATTAAGGTGTCCTGCGTCACTTGACCCTTGTGGCCTCCGGAAAGCCTTTGAGGGTAAGGCTGTAGACTTTCTGAAAATTTTTGTGTCCAAGGCCCCAGCACACACATCATGCAGCTCATTAGAAGATGGTTTCACCTCTCATCTTCTGTCTGAAGGGTGCCACTTGCTCATCTGGCTTTAAAGATATCAAAAAGTGATGAAAGAGACCAGCGGGAGAGTTAGATGTGAGTTTTTGCATTGGCTAGCATTTCCCTGAAAAACATCTAACTGGGAGTTGTGTAATAATTTATCTTTATTTACTTTCTAAACCTTAGTTGATATAACTTCAGTACTATCCGAGTCATCACTAAAGTCAACAAGAATTTTCTGAAAAATTGATTTCCAAATACAAATATTTTCTACCAACTGAAATTATGTGGGAAAACTCAACTTTTTAATTCTTTTCATTGTTATCAATCTATTTTGTGACTCCTTTAGTTCTTTTTTCCCCCTCCAAACTGTCACGTTTTCGATTGTTAATAATAATAATATGTTGGCTTTTAGGCCGCATCCAGAAATCAACCTCTCCAACTTTCTTTGAGTTCTTACATGGGCTCTCTCTCATCCAGCGAGGAGGTCCACGGAACAGGGTAGAGGAGAGTGTGGCTGCGGAGTCGCTAATCAAGACCTCTGGAGGGGCTGGGGATGTGGCTTAAGCGGTAGCGTGCTCTCCTGGCATGCGCGGGGTATGCGCGGTTCGATCCTCAGCACCACATAAAAATAAGATAAAGATGTTGTATCCACCGAAAACTAAACAATAAATATTTTTTAAAAAAGACCTCTGGAGACCAAGCAGGAAGCAGGTCTGATTTTATGGCGCAGTTACCGTGTATATATACTAAGGCAGAGCTAAGCAGATGACAGGCAGCTACCAATGCAATTTCTGCTGTCATTGCAGCGACCAATCAAGGAGTGGGCCATGGAGCAAGTGCAGGGACTGCAACACATGGCCTCACGCCCAGGACTGTGCCTATGGGGTAAGCGGTTTGCCACTCACACACCTAGCACGAGGGAGTGGTTGGCCACTCAGATGCCCTAAACGTATGCCATGTATGCAGTACTCCATGCACTTGTCCCCACAGGTTCTGTTTCTTTTTTGTTTAACAGAGAAACAAAGGGACTGGGCTCCACCACTTGCTTGGTACACGTTGTGGTCAGTTCCAGAAACTTTCTGAGCCCCTGTTTTCTCCTTGGTAGAGGAGGAGGGTGAGAACACTGTAACTCATGTGCTTTTACTGGGTAGGAGTTGATAACATGAGCAGGGCTGCTGCTGATTTCCTGAGGAGGTGTTTCCTGAGCACCAGAAAGTCCAACTCTCCCCACGTCTTTGTCCCCAAAGTGATTCTTTATTTTTTGGGACAGAACTTCTGAGCAGATGTCAAGGCCACGCTGAACAGTATGCAGTGGAAAGTCATCTTCCAGACAAAGGAGAATATAAGACCTCCTGTTATTTCATATGGGATAATGTAAATCCAACCCCAAAGATCACTGTGTTCTTGGGGGCCCACTTCGCAGCCCAAATGATAAAACAACGTCCCTTGAAAAAGGAGGAAGTCTCCATCAAGTGTAAACTTTTTTTTTAAAGAGAGAGAGAGAGAGAGAATTTTTTTAATATTTATTTTTCAGTTTTTTGGTGGACACAACATCTTTATTTTATTTTTATGTGGTGCTGAGGATCGAACCCAGTGCCCTGTGCATGCCAGGTGAGCGCGTTATTGCTTGAGCCACATCCCCAGCCCCTCAAGTGTAAACTTTTAAAAAAATTTTCTGAGTTCACATCATGCCTCCTCCCCAGGGCCAGGACTAGGGTGCAGCAAAGGAGAGGCGTAGAACTGAAGGCACAGAACCCAAGGGGAAGCGACCCCAAGGGGGAGGCCTCCTCCAACCTTGCAGCTCTGCCCTCCCTGGCCCCTATCTAGTCTGGCTGTGCTCTTCTCTTTATGGCCTCAAATGCAGCTTCCTTTCAGGGTTTAGGCTGGCAGAGTCAGATCATGGCTCTGGGGACAAAGTTCAGGGAAGCCTTGCAGAGGCTTTCCACCCCCCAGGGAGCAGTCACCTCCTGGTCAGTCACTTGATGTTTTTGCTTTGCAGTGGTCAGGCCCATGTCTTCCAACTGTGGACATTTGGCACTGAATACAAAGGGTTCTTCCAGATTAATGGGTAATGACTTCCAGGGCAATCAGTGCTAAGTTATCCACTCCAGAAACTCGATGGATTCTTGGACAAGGGTCATTTGTATTCCATTGATGGATGTTTTATGTTGGAAAAATAAATCCCAATCTGTCTCCAGATTATAATTATAATTATAATTCATTTAATAACTCTATGATAATTTTGTATAATAACTGATAGTTCTGATCAGAAATTGTGGAACAAAAGATGTCTTCTCATCACTCTGTATCCAGCAACCCAACTTCACATAGTAGATGCTCAATAAATCATGTGAATGAAGAAACATCAGGCTTATCAGAAATTAAATCAGACTTCTCAGGGCCGAGGCCCTTTAAGTACCAGGAAGGTAGAGCCAGGAATCCCGCCCAGTGATCTATGCCAACCTCTGCTGTTCCCTCCCTGTAGACACCAAGCATTCTTCTGGCTTTTGCTGACATGTTCATTTTTGTGTTCTGTTTTGTGAGAGATGTGTATTTAGCTCTCATCTCTCATCTTGCCTGACTTGATGTTTTACTCTTTTCTAGCTCTTTCTCCTCCTGGATTTGTGTCCACTGGTAGAGTCACCAATGGAACTACCTCTGAAAATTCTGCCCCTGAGTTTATGGTGATCCTTCTTGACCTGGCTCCTGATTGACAATTATAAACACTGAGCTGTGCCTTGGAGTAGTTCAAATGCATCACCTATTCTAGTGACATCTGGTAAAGAGCTCCTTTGACAAATTCAGAAGCCCCTTGCGGCATCCTCAGCAAGATTCCTGCCATCTGTGGCACTGCCTAGCACCTTGCTGCCATCTCCTGGAGATGGTTGGTCTTCTTCTGTTCCCTAGACCTTTGGGCCTGCTTCCCCGAACCACCTTTAGCACGTTGTGCCATAATGTGAATGCCAAAGGTAGTATTATACTGCAGTGATATGAGCCTCATTGAAAAAAGACATAGGTGAGTAATTAACATAGTGAATGAAGCGAATGACCAGAAAATGAAGTAAATACCCATCAGCCATTGGCATTCAAAGAAGTGGCAGCCAATTGAATGAAACTGACCCAGGATCACTCATGAGAATACGCATTCAGGATGTGAAAATCTTACAGTTTGAATCTGGTGTCAACAGGCACAGAAAAATACTGGTACCTCCCTTGGGCACCAATGCTGCCATTATCTTGGAAGACATATCAAAACATCATCTGTTTTCTTCTTCATTTTCAGTAAGTAAATGGCAACATTCCTAAGGAAGCTGAAAGGATGGAAGGTCAAAGACTAGCAGCCAATTATCATGATAAACTTGTGCTCATAATTCTCTGCCCCTGGCAGCTGGTGTCTGAACTCAGGATCAAGTCCTGTGCCTAACACAGAACCTCCTTTAAGCAGGGCATTGCCGTAGCAACTGGGCAGTCTTTACCTGAACCTTTACATAGGAAGTTCCCAGCACAGGCACAGTTCCTGCTAGAGGATAGTCAAAGACAGCAGAGGAAACAGAGAAGAACAAAAAGAGAGAAGATACACCATTTAAGTGGCAGGAATATAATGACCTTTCTGATAGGCAATGTAATCATAGAAATCAAGAACTTTAATAATGCCCAAATCATTTGAATCAATAATTTTGCTTCTAGAATCTAGCCTGAAAAAAAAAGAAAAGAAAAAAAGAACCCACTAGAATGCCAGCGATTCCTAAGGCTTTCTATATGATAGTGATCAATTAAGACACACTAAATATCACCAATAAGAGAAGGGTTAAATAAATGATGATATAGATATACAACAGAATAATAGTCATTATAAGCATGTTTTAACTCTATTTAATAATATGGGGAAATATTCAAGTTATGATCAAATTAAAAATAATAAAGTAAAACTAAAAATGTGTACATGCACTATGATCTAAATCATATTAAAATAAAATTTTGCATAAAAGAACACAAGATGGAAGCACACCAAAGCATGAACACTGTTCATCTCCGGATGATGAGACAGAGAATGATTTTTGTATTCCTTTTTATATGTGTTTATTTAGATATTTAGAATAACCAATGAGATATTAATGGCTCTTAATTGCCTTACTTTTCTAGTATCAACTAGAATACTTAATGCTTTAGAAATTGTCACCAAAGGAAGATTCAAGAACAAATGGACTGAACGAAATGTTCCATGCCTGAGACAGAAAGAATGGGACAGGATGTAGGATCATACAGAACTTTTCCTTTTCCCCTGGAACCCTCAGGTTGGGATGGCAATAGAACCACCCCAGACAACTGTGGGAATCCCAGGGCAGAGGAGACCCAAGCTTCCTTGTGTTTGGAGCAGCAGGGAGTTTGAGCAGGGAGATATTACATTGTAGGAAGCAGCCCCCTCCCCTCCCAGAAGCAGGCTGACTTCACGGCGCTGGAGAGACCATGACTGCATGGCTTGTCCCAGCAGAATGAGCTGAATGAAGCCCCCTACACCTGTGTGGGCACAGTGGCCAAATATTCCCAGGCTTCTAGAAGTGGGTGGCACCTAGCTGAGAGAAGGCCTGGTCTCGAAAGGTTCTCACAACTGAAATGGGAATCCCCAATCAATGGCTTCAGGGAAGACTGTCTTGCTATGGATTATAAGGGGACAAGCAGGACACTAGCTCCATAGGTGGACCTGCCAGGTAGACATGTCTGAGAATAAGATGAGTCAGGTCACTTCGCAGAAGCCAACACAGGCTCTTATGGCAGAGGCAAAGGTGGATAGCCCTTCTGCTCTTAGGGGCTTGTGCTTAATGCACCCCTTCCCACCCAGGAATATTTTTTTTAACCCCCAATGTGGGACAGAGGAGGAGGGCAAGCAATCCTAAATGGGACTGAGTTTCAATCCAAGTGTCTGGGAAATCAGGTTACCTGGAAGTGACTAGTTTAAATTTTCACACAAAAAGGGCTCAGAGTCAGAAATTCAATTGAGTTGTGAAAAATAAAGTTACACATACATACATGTCTGTATGACTTATTGAATGTTAACTCACTGAGTGTTTTCAAATACTCAGTAATGACCATAGTTGGTATTTTTTAAAGAAAAGCATAGCCCAATAACACAGGTATAGGCTGATGGGAAGCTGGCCTCTCTGTATGACGGGAACCTGTTCCCCTAGCCTCTAAGAGCCAGTACCTCATTTCCAAGAGCCTCTGCATTACGATTCTGAATGAATGTGTGTGGCCAGAAGTGAATGCAAAATGGTGCTTCACAGCTGTCTTTTCTGCCCTGTCACCACCCTCTACTTCCTTTACCCCATATCCTTACCCTTGCAAATCAATAATTAAACTTCCCTTTACTTGGTCCTTTCTTTTCTTCTTCTTGTGAACCATTTTCCCCCCCTCGAAGCAATATCAAATCACAGAACAAATCCACCCACACACAATGATGACCTCAAAATATTTGAAGAACATGTTGGTTTCTATGTTTGGTTTTCTTGGCTCCAGGTTATACCAAGTCCTTATATGATAATTCCCTCTCGCCATCATGTCCATCCTCCCTGGGGGTCACACCTAGGATTGTCAGGGGCCACTTAAAAAGCAGTACTTGGAATCAACACTGTGGCCCTGGGTTCTGGCCACAAAGACATGCTATTATTCTGCTAAGGCTGCAAAGGGTGCCAAATGGGC